CAAAGAGAACAATACTTTCTATTTTTAAGTTGGCTACCTATACACTGACGTCCCTCGGTGGTGCAAGTGGTTAAGCGCTCAGCTGCCAACTGAGAAGTTGACAGTTCTAGTCCACCTACAGGCACCTCAGAAGAAAGACCTGGCCATCAAATTCCAAAATATAAGCCATTGAAAACCCTATGGAGCATAGTTCTACTCTGATATACACATGGGTCTCCATGAGTCAAAATCAACTCCATGGCAACTGGTTTGGTTTTGATGTACATATACATTTTATCATTTACTATATCAAGACATACTGCTGCTGTTCACGCTATATACTTTTTGTATATGGTCAAATCCTACAGAATTTACAAAGGAAGGCATCTAGGAACTGTCTCACCATATTGGTTCATCATTCAAGTCTTGGGTTTTCTCCCAAAAGGCAATGGCAATCCATTATTGTATTATTTTCACGGGTAGGGTTCAAAAATACTCTTTGCATCAACATATGTTTTAAGCTGCGTAATGATGAAGCCCATCAATACATAATGTTAGCCACTCAGTTTAATACAAATTTGAAAAAAGGAAGTGACAAGGCAAATTATGACCATTCTTTTACTTACTACATGCCCACAAACTTGGGGGGCAGAGGAGAGAGAGAGACAAGTACTAAACCTGTAACTGCACTGCACTGTGAGTGACCAGACTAGAATGCAATCAAAGTAGGTTTGGGGGAAAGGGCACCCAAGTCAGTCCCTTTCCCAAACCTGGATAGAAACTAGTAACTGGAATGAATGTGGAGTGAGAAAAAGCAGAATGAGTCAAAGAAGATTCTCAAGGCAAGCTTGGATTCTGGGTTGTGGTTTCAAGAAAGACAGAGAATAGAGGGTAGCTTGGTTTAGGGGGGAAGGAAGATGATGAGTTTAGTTCTGAATATTCATTCATTCATTCAACAAATGTTCACTGAATACCTATCCTAGGCCTGCCACAGCAGGCAGGTGAAAATATTTGGTTTGGAGCTCAAGATTGGAATGGGCCAGAGACATGGACTTGGAAATCATCGGCATATAAATGGTAGCTAAAATCTTGGCTTAAATGAAATTGTCCATGGAGAAAACAGAGTGGAAAAAGAGTGCCAAGTACAGAAGTCTGTTAAGACACCAATATCTAAGAAGCATCCACAACAAGAAGGGATGATTAGGAGAGGAAGGGGAAAAACAAAATGTCAAAGGATGGAGACTACCAGGGTAAAAGGTAAAAATACTCAGACAGCCCCAAGTGCTTTTGATGGAGCAGTAAAAGTAAATGCCATTATTACTGTAGATCAAAGAATAAAATGGTCAGGTAGAAAAAGAGGGCAGTGACAAGTACATATACTAGTAAACTGTAAAATTCTTTTTTTCCTAGTACCAGAGCACTATTGGAAGTATAGAAGTAATTATTGTTATCCACTTTTAAAAACCAAGTTTTCTATGGAAAATTAAAGATACAAATAAATTACTACACCTGTGTTGAAGAAGTTTATCTCACAGTGAGTAAATATGATTGGTTTTTAGAAAATGAAGCATATTACAGAAATCTAAAAAAACCTTCTTCACTTACAAAAACTATTACAACTTAAAATTAAATCCACAGTCACAAAGCAAAGAGGAAAAATAAAAGTAGAAATAGCATGCATTTCTCAACAATCAGTCTGTATCTATATAGACCCAGAGAGCCACCTAGAGGGAAAAGATCACACATGTGTACAGTGCACAGTGCTCTTTAAAAGCTTATCATTTCCCTCCCATGTTTCAGATTGATATCTACTGATAACTTATATTCCTTAGAAAATAAGGGGAAAGCTTTAAATCAAATACTGTAATAAAAAAAAAAACAACTTAAATATTTGCCACCATTTCTACTTATGAGAATAACATTAGCGTATTTTGTTCTTAAAGTGTCACAGAAAGGACACTAGATTTCAAATCTATTGATTGCACTACTTTCTATCTGGCTGGCCACCACTCAAAACTTCAGGTTTGCTTCCCACAAAATAGAAATATTTGTTGACCTATCTGCCTCTCAGAGTTTTCCTAAGGATCAAATGAGAACATACGTAAATGTGTAAGTGTCACAACCAACTCTGGAAGGAAATCCTGATCCTTAATGTATTTTCAGAACCAGATTTTAGTGCACACTTTGGTGGCCTATGACAACAAAATTGTATACTATGACATACAATTCTGCAACAATAATAACCAAAAAATGCGTGTGGTTACATAGATAGATATATATGCATATATGTGTATAGGAAGGCACATGTGAGTATATGGGTGTATCTGTAGGCATATGTATATATACATGTTTATGAATCTGTTCCAAAACCAAACCTGTTGCTCTTGAGTCGATGCTGACCCACAGCAACCCTAAAGGACAGAGTAGATGCCCCATAGGGTTTCCAAGGAGCGGCTGGTGGACTCAAACTGCGGACCTATTGGTTAGCAGCTGTAGCGCTTAACCACTGCGCCACGAGGGCGCCTATATATTTATGAGCACTGCATATATA